CGGTAGGGGCATATGGAAAATTCTTGTGCCTGTACTAAACGGCTATCCGTTAGGGGCAAACTGGAAATTTGGCACAGGTACCGGTAGGGGCATATTGGAAATGTCTCAGGCCCAAATGACGCCAGGGGTTTTTTGGAAGCTTGAATCACTCTCAGAGGGGCAAATCAGGGAAAGTCGGCCGTTGGAGGGGTAAATTGCAAATAAACGCAAACTTCAGGGGCATTTCGAAAATTTCCCCAAAAAAGAAAAGAAAATTTAGAAAAACAAGAAAAAAACTGAAGCACCCCTACTTAGTAATTAGTAATTAGTAATTACTAATTACTAATTAGTAATTACTAATTACTAATTAGTAATTACTGATTACTATCACTAAGGTTATCACCAGTAATTAGAAACATCCTCCGAGAGATGCTTTTAGGCCTACCACGTCTCTTCAATGGTTAAGGATTTGAATTTTGACAACCCTCTTTTTTTTCTTTTTTTTTTTGAGAACAACTTCTATCTTTTACTGATGAATGAATTATGCTGGCAGAGAGCATCCATGCGCCGCACAGAAGTGGAGCAATTGAAGAATCTGCTAAGGGAGGAGGAACTTCAGCTGCAGAGTCGAAAGCAGAGCATCGAAGCAGAGTTGAATGAGATCTGGCCGTTGGTGGAGCAAGCAAGGAAGTCGGTCGGTCAAATAAAAAATGATAATCTCAAGTATGTGTTTGTCTCGTTTGATTTTTTTCTTCTTCTTCCTCCTGTCTTTTTTGCCTTTTAATTTGGACCATTTCTCGGTGTATGCGTGTCATTTCGATTTATGTGTGTCATCCTTGCACAGGGGCCATGCTAAATTACTGATCTTCTCTGTATACAAAGAGTCCGAAATGCTGGCAATCGCTCTTTGTTTAGAAGGGAGACTGCAGCTCACACAGGCCATGACCCCCGTTATGTACGTTAGACCAGTCGAGGACAACAAACATCCCCAAATTAGCTTGCAAGTCTGATCATTTCATCCAATTTTCCCACTTCTCTCTTAGTCATAATGCCCCAAATCCTGTTGTATTGCCTAAACCCTAAACCCTAAACCCTAAGCCCTAAACTCTAAACCTAACACCTTTTTTTCTTCCATTCTTTTTACCCCAATGACCCTAAGTGTTCATGCTAAGCCAGCAACCCTTTTGCAAAACATGGTCAGCAACTCAGCATAGCCTTCTACACCATGAGGGGGAGGGGGGAGGGGGAGAGGTGTGAAGCCTCACCATGTTATTGGAAAAACGTACCATACAGTTCCCTTAGACACGACGTCTTACTAGTATTGTACACAACCCTCCTGCAATGTCCAGGGAACGAATTACAGGGTGAAATCCGGTCAGTTACAGATCCCCTTAGGGACTCCGAATCTGGTCATTTCAAACACTGAGGGAGTCCTGTGAGAAATCCGGTCAGGTACAGATCCCCTTAGTAAGACGTCGTGTCTAGGGAACGAATTACAGTGAGACATGTGCTAACATATGATGCCACAACGGGCCACAAGTAGTCTCACAATTAAGAATTTCCTTTTTTTTTTTTCTTTTTTTTTTAATTTGGACCATTTCTCGATTTATGCGTGTCATCCTTGCGCAGGGGCCATGCTAATCTTCATTCTGTATCGTTCCAATTTTAACGGATGTCCCGAAGGACACAATTAAGAATTTCCAACTTCCTCCTCAAGGGGATTTATAACTGACCGGATTTCTCACAGGACTCCCTCAGTGTTTGAAATGACCAGATTCGGAGTGCCTTCGGTTTGCAGATAGACATGATGAAGGTGACCGGTTCAACTATATTCTGGCAGTAGGCCGGCGACAAGTTTTAATGGGGGCTGCTGGCCTTTCCTTTTCCCAGAAAGATGTTGCACATGCAAAAAGGCTATAATTAAGTGCTCAAGCTCATTACGTTCAAATTTCAAACCCCATTCCCCCCCCTTGCCCACCCTTGTGGCCCCCTCTTCACCTCTCCTACGTTCTTCTAGCAATAGGTCTGGGGCCCTAGTAATGTGACCCTTTTGTTTTGCAAGGTTTGGTCCATTAGTTTCCATCAGTATCATCTCTCAGGACTGGAATTGGTTTGAGCTACCTCCAAGAGAACAGGTTGGGTTAGGGCAAACTACCGTCTTCGCCCGAATAGAACGCCCGGTCATTATAGCCGTATCTGGGGCAATTTTCTGTCCCGATGCAGCGATAATGACCAGGCGTTCTATTCGGGGGAAGACGGTAGGGCCTTTCTCAGCGAAATTGTGGTCAGATTCCATCAGACGCATTCAGACAAAAGGTGTGTGAGTCTGCCCTCATTTAGTTTTAGAGGGCCTTAGAGGCAGGGGGCGTTTCGAAAAGCTGCACTGCTTGACTGAGAATGGGGGGGCAATAGCATTATATGAATGTTGTGGTGGGAGGGTTTAGTGTAATAGGGTCAGCATAGGCATCTTACCATTTTGTTGGGTCCCTGAGAAGGTCCCGATGTATAACCGCAAACATAAAGAGTGCCACAGGACGGTAGTGGTAGACAGGTAGTGGGAGGACAGAAAATGGGAAGAGGGCAATGTTGGCAGCAGGTACTGCCACGTTGATCGTACCTCTTTATCTCGATGGCTGCATCCACAGGGGTGGAGACTGGCTGGCTAGAACTATGTGGAAAGTTGAGCTGTTGCATGTTAGAGGGTCAAGAGTGATTTCGTGAACTCTGGGTCAGCGGGTGATCTGCCGCAACCGTGCAGGTGTGGACTCTGTGGAGTGCATATCATTTCTGGAATGGCTCTGCTTGCGGACACTGCATCACGGTTGCAGTAGCGCAGACTTATCTGTCTGTTCTGCAAGAGATCGTTGGTTTGATTCTGTTCTAGGTCATAGCCTCACAGGCGTATCCATACACATGCCATGCGATGTTGATCATAATTATAAATTATTGCCCATGTCTGTTGACTCTCGAGTCTCTACAAAAGTCGCACGCTAGGAAGTGCTGTTAATGACCCCACGACCGCCTGAGTGCCGCTTGAATGCCTGTTACGAACTGAGCTCCACGATAGTGCCTGCGGCATGCTTGGCGTCTTATCTTCGAGGCGGCCAGTTGGTAAGCAAGTGTGTGGTAGCTCTGTGGGCAGAGCTCCGGTGTTGCAACGGGGAGGTTGCTGGTTCGACTTTGTCGGCCCACAGTTTTCCCCGAGCACAATCGGTTGGTGTAGGTTGCACCCCACGTACTTGTCCCGAGCCTGGCATAGCGCCTTTACAGACTAATCACCTCAATATAGCTCAGTGGGTAGAGCTCTGATATTGTAACTTGGAGGTCCCGGGTTCAACTCCACACTATGATTATTCATCATGTCTATATATACTGTTCGTCATATCCGCTAGGGATGATCCTCTGGACGGATTTGGGTGGGGACTTGTGCCTTTCCTGCGGGAGAGTTGATGTGGGATGGATGCTAACTCTCTCGGGCCGGAGATTGGTAAGGGGCTGTTTGGGTGCATGGTGATACCGTGGCAGTCCTATGGTGGGAAGGGGTGCCTTGTAGGGAAACCAATGTCGAATCAAGAGGTGTGTCCTACTCTTGGTGTCTGTGGACCCATCCTGGGAAGGTGGGTTATCAGAGGTTGGTCGGGGGTAGTTGATGAGGGTCGAGGTCTCCACCATTACCACTGGTCGATTCTTCCTAGCGAACAGACATAAGCAAGCCTCATTAGTAGCAGAAAGCCACCACATACATACATCCATACAGACTATGATATCACACTAGCTCACATAACGACCAGCATATTCAACAACCAACAGTAGCCATATACATGAACCGCGCTGTGATGGGTTGGTGCTTTGAGGTAAGGGGGCTCATGGGTTAGACCTCGGTTAGCCGACCATTAGACACTGCCTATGGGTGCCCTAACTGCTCACGGGACTAGTTGAGAACTTTGCGCCTATAGCTCCCGAGGTACCCGTATAACGAGGCTTGTACGCTAGTTGAGCCCTCAACTGGGGCTGAATGGGGGAGCTCATTCAGCGTCAGTGCCCGCGTCCGCTGTCTGGTCAGGTTGCTCCAGTAGAGAGTGATGTTCCTCGCATGAGGTAAGATAGAAAAGGAGTGGGGTGCGGCAGGAGATATATCGAGAGGGGTGGTAGGATGGGATTTTCGTGAGTATGTATATAAAAAAAAGGGGAAAAAAAAAGAAAGAAAGAAAAAGGAAGTGCTGTTAATGGATAATCCCGAAGGACATGTTCATCTTGCTTTTGCTTTCCCCTCTTCTTCATCATCATCATCCTCCCCCTCTTCTTCACATCCATGGCACTAAACTGACCAAACAAACAAACAAGCAAACAGTTTATTTGTGTTTTTGCATTGATAAAATAATAATAATAATAAAACACTACTGACCAAACTGTGTGAAGTACCTGCCTCAGCTTGACCATTGATCAACAAGTCAGCAGTTCGAACCCTGTTGTGTCAATACGTCGGCAATATGAGAACACAACAGGGTTCGAACTGTTTTGCAGGGTTCGAACTGCTTTGCAGATGAGAACACTGGATGGTGCTAGATTCCGTGAAAACTTCGAATGCAACGAGACGGATGGAGAGAGCCAGAACTGTAAGGTTCTGTTCTTGGGGAAAAAAAAAAAAAAAAAAAAGGGATGGAAGATCATGGAACATAGAAAGTAGGGAAGAAAACTAAAGAATGAAACCCAAAATAAGAGAGGTATTTAATTATCAATTAGTAAATTAGTAAAATTACTAATTTAGCATTAAATTAAAATTAGCCGAACTCCACCAAACGATTTGCATATTTTGGAGGCTGAAGGACAGATCAGGAAGCAGTGCAGGTAGTCTTCCTTCTGCTATGTATTGCGCAGCCTGCACCATGTTGCCTGTTCCTATCTCTTCTCCTATCTTCTCCGGGCCTCTGAAGACCCGGGAATGCATACCTGGGCCCGTAGTTTTGTCCCATCTGCTGGGTTAAACCGCCGCCACTCCGTGAGACCCTTCTGCAGACCTCTGACAGTTTTTTCATCATAAATGGGCTTATTAACTGAGTGCAGGTCGGCCGTACATTCAAAAAACGGCTGGCATGTTAACCAGGGCATCTTGCCCTCCCCCCTCCTTCCCCCCTCCCCGTGCAGACTGGTTCCTTAAACCACCAGTACATGGCCTCAAGCAACTAGAGCCTCTCCGAAAATTTAGGAGGCCGAGCGCCGTAGATAAAATGAATCGGCGGTGGGCGGCCTCCGAAAAGGGCCCCCGGCCGATAGCTGGCATGTACTGGTGCTTTAAACCACCAGTACAGCCGGGTCTGGAGCCGCTCCTCTGTGCGGGAAGTTTTGCCGAACCGCCAGCGGCACACTTCTTTTCTTGTTTGGCTGACACTGACAGTCATTGTGGTCCGGTAGGCCAGAGGAGCGAAATTTTTGGAGTAGGCCCAGTAGGGGATGGAATATTTTCTGCAAGGCTGGGGCCGTGTACCGGCGGTTTAAGCCAATCGTTTACTTGGACCACCTGGGGCCAAGTACCACTTACACGGCTGCTTCGTTTCCGGCCGTCGATCTTCGTAATCTATGGTCAGAAACTGAGAATTTGGGTAAGTGGGACCTGGCCCCTGGTAAGCTAGCAACCAGAGGAGGCTCACCTATTTTTGGTACTCCCTCAATTCTGTCCCAGTCTATGTCGTTGTTTCAAAAAACTCTGTCCTTGACCGATCCTTCCAGCCCAAGGGGGAAGTAGAGAGTGGGCCCATCTTCAACATCTATAAGCTACAAGAAGGAAGAGGGACAATGAGAAGTGTAGAGAAGCCTAGGGAAGAGGCATCCTTTGAAACTGACGGAATTACAAAGACTCACAGTCGTAGACAGAAAACACGACTGGCAGATTCACCAACGAAAGCAACACATGAACTGGAAATCGACCCAGCGCAATGGTTGTGGGCGTGGGGTAGAGAGAATCTCTTGGCAGGAACAGACAATTCCCAATATTTCACACTGGCAGAACCGTGTTTTGTTTAACTCCTGCGTGACATGGCCGGGAGAGCTCTCGCCTTTTGCGAAAAAGGCGGGGGCCGATGCGCTCGACAGCGGAATATTTGACCGATCTAGGATATAGATAAGGTTGTGGGCTCCTTCCGTACGGAAGTAATCAATGCCGCCCACTCGGACCTTCCACCCATCATGGGGAGGAGCGTGTGTGAGTAAATTTTGTAACCAACTATGACTTGCCGGGGGAATAGGAACCGGACTGTTGCTCCCCAGAATGGCAGGAGCCAGAACCAACAGGTTCTGTTTTCAAAAAAAAAAAAAAAAAAAAAAAAGAAAAAAGACAAGGTTGTGGGCATGGGGTAGAGGCTCTCTAGGCAAGAATAGACAATTCACATTAGCGGAAGACTCGACCAAGCTACCGTCTTCACCCGAATAGAACGCCCGGTCATTATCGCAGCATTTGGACCGAAAGTTGTTGCCAAATACAGCTATAATGACCGGGCGTTCTATTCGGGTGAAGACGGTAGGCTATAGACTGAGACAACCGGATCAGGATAACAGCGCTGTGGTTCTCAAAAGATGGGACAAAACTATGGGCCCAGGAACGTAAACCTCGCTCGGCCTTTTGGCTAAAAATAGATCGAGTGTAGTATCTGTTCCCATCAGTTTAATATCTGATCCGTGGTATATATATCGTGAAAAAGGGTGAAACAAAAAGGTGGTGGAATAGACTGGCAAATGATAAGCATGGAAAGACCACTGAAGAAAAGCGAGCCTTCTAGGAGTTGATGCTCGTATCAACATTCCTCCCTGCATCAGTCAGTCAGTGTTTTTCTTTAAAAAAAAAAAAAAAAAAACACAAACAAAGAAAGAGCCTTCTTTGGATCACTGCCTACCAAGCAGTCCTGGGGTGAGGTACCACTACCAAAGAGGATTGGATTGGCTGCCTGAATCTGGACATGTTTGTGGAAAAGTGAGGAAAATCCAGATTGAAGTTCATTGAACGGCTTTTCTGCATCTCTTCTTAAAACACGTCCAGATTCAGAAGTTTAATCCAATCCTCTTTGCTAGTGGGGCCTTGCCCCTGGTCGATGACTGGCGGAACCCGAGCCCAAGAACAGGGCAAGCAACATGGTGCAGAAAACAAACAAACAAACAAACAAACATGGTGCAGAGTCTGCGGAAATCAACAGACGGAGGATCTGAGACATTGCTTCCTCGCATGCCAAAAAGCGGCCACTGTCTGGGGAGAGAAATCTGAAACATTGGGACAACAGAGAGAACAGCTTGTCAATGCCTCTGAACGAAAAGACATCCGGGGACCACAGAACCTCACGCTCATCTCTCTCCATCGACTGCATATGCTGTGTTATTGTTGTCCCTATATGGGGTTCTGTGGTCCCCATCCACGTACACAACTATATGGGGTTTAAGTCGTAGTCTGCAGCCCCATATAGTGGAGTACTTGGATGGGAAACAATGCCTTCCTTTGCCCTGTTTATCGCTGTCTCAACACTCACAAAGTCTGGGTTGAGCTGAGCCTTGGCGTTTCAATTGTTTTAAACTAAGTTTTAATCGTTTCTCATGATGTCAGCTGTGACATCCCACAAGAAAGATCTTCGTATTTGGGTAGCAGTTTGGTTGAGACATCAGTTTTACTTTACTTTCTTTGCCAAACAGAGAAAATATCCTCTTGTCTTTCTTGGCTTTGGAATTCAAGTTTCTGATCCATACGTTTGCTGTTCGGCATCTCTCCTTCTCTCTCTCTCTCTCTCTCTCTCTCTCTCTCTCTCTCTCTCTCTCTCTCTCTCTCTCTCTCTCTCTCTC